TGTTTGTTAATTAATCTGGAATCCCAATCATATGAAGCGAGAAAGGTCTACGATAAGAAAGCTCTTTGAAAACATGTGAGAAATGGTCAAATCTTTATAGGTTACGAAAAACAGTCAACAATTTGTCTACGATGAAACAGTGTATATTGAGTTGTGTCAAGCGTGCTGTGTGTAATTTATGGGTTCATATCATATTATTTTGATTTGACCTATTTATTTTTGTATTATAAGTTCGTATATAAATTATGAATAAAAAATTTAACACTAAAATTTAAGTTTAAGATTTTAATATTATTTAATTAAACTCATGCTCATACTTCTTTTATAAATTAAAAATTAACTTAATAGACATACTAATAAAAAAAGAGTAAAAACATCTTTTTCTATACAAGAATTATGTCAATACTTGATCAAAAAATAATAAAAAAATTAGCATTTTATTCTTATGATACTAATTAAACATGTCAATTTCGTATTATTCGTATTTGATACTAATCCAATCAATTTATTATATGTGTTAACGAGTCATGTCATTTATAAGTGTGTGTAGAGAAATAATACATCCTAACCCACTAATTTTATATTAATTTTAACTCGTATTTTCATATAGTCTCAAAATTGCTACCTCTAAAGTTTTAGCACTTTAAAGGGACATAATAGGGGATATCAAGACTTTCAAACCTACTTCATAAAAATGTACATTTGAGAAAGAAAAGAACTCATCCTTGGAAAACGACTTGCATAAACATAATGTCAATAAACAATTATACTATATGGCCATAATTTTTTTTTTTTTGACTTGTAAAAAAAAGGGTGAGAAGCAAAAGAGAACACCCATAGGCTATCCTAATAGACCCTCAATAATAGGATCATGAGGTCTTTGACCGCATTCATTACTATTCTCAGGAACGAACCTAATTAGGTTAATGTCGCGCAACCAACCACCGAACCTAAATGTGGACTCCAAAATTCGAACTTTCAATTTCAGAGTGAGAAGTTCGGTTAGTACCCCATTAGACCACCCCACTCTGTGATTTATTTGACCATAATTTATTAACTTAATTTGTTGACATAATCGATCAAAATCATTAAATTAATAATAAGTTTCAACTAATATCAAAATTTATTATCAATTTAGTTATAATGATTAGTTAGATCAACGAATTAGGTTGATCAATGAAGTCTAAATAACATTGCTCATTTTAATCACACTATACGTTGGTTTTTCAACTTTTACATTGAAAAGTGCAAATTTAAACTACACTTTCATTGATAATGTCAGTTTGTTTGAGAAATAAAGTAGAAAGTGTGATTAATTCAAAACCACGGTAGGATGAAAGTTGATTCTCATTATGTAGAAACCGCGGAATAATCTCTCATGGGGGAATATTAACACCTTGAAACCAATTTCATAAGATTCATTACACATTGTAGCTTTCCAACAAAAGGAGTTTTAGAAAATCAAAGGCAAAAAAGAGTAAGGAATTTCAATTCTTTTAAGCCGACTTTATAATATTCGATGCAATTTGATGGTAAGTGACATTGAGGTGCAATATTTTCTAAATTCAGATTTGAAAAGATTGCAAAACCCTTTATTCCCCCTTTTTTTAATTTGGACTTTCACATTGTTTGTTAGAATAAAAAACAAATCTTAACTAAATCTAAATTCAGATAATACTCTCGAATTCTTCGATCATACCTCAGGTTTTCGTGATTTGATCTGAATTGAGTCTAAGTTGTCTAATCATAAAAATCATATCGATCTCATTTCAACCCAAGTTGAACTCAATACTTCAATCACAAACCCGGATTCAATTGTCATATTGAAGCATATATAGACAGTACTCAAATTGAGAGGTTTAGATTAAGTTTGAGATTTTGTTAAACTTGAGTTTAGGGTTATATAACTTGGGTTGAGTCGGAACGACCTCTCAACATGTCGTACTGGCTTGATTTGCACTTCTACTTCCACGATTGGTTGATGTAAAATTTGAATCACAAACATAAATATGGCTAGGAATTCATTAATTCAACTACCAATTAATTATTTTGTGTCAACGAATAATCTTTCAAATCAACAATCTTTTCAACTCATATCCACAACGAAAATTTCGAATGTATCGAATCACTCACAAAATGACGTGTATCAGTTAAACCAAAATGTAAGTAGCCAAGATGACTCAAACTCAAAATGTGTGTGCTTACATCTCCCCTCAATTAAACCAGCTAACTGTGTTTTTTGTTACAAAACATGATTTGGTTCCTTGTTTTGAGTAAGGAAAAACTTATGTGTGACATAGTTTGGCATTTTAGAGGACCACAAAATGACTAAATGAGGTGTTGACAGAAAGCAGGAAAAAAGACAAGGCCAATAAAAACAGTCATTTGTTGGGTGTCCCTTGTAAGTGTAAGAGGTTTATTTTACAACTATTAAGTTAACTTATGATCGATGTTAGGATCGATCTTAGAATTTTTAGGATCGATCGCAAATTATCGTAAAAGTTGTAACCTGTCGTAAAAAAATTTATAATTAAACCTTAAAAGTTGTAACTTGACCTAAAAAATTATAAATTTTATAATTTTTTTTTGTTATAAACAAATCACAAAATTTGTATTAAAACTTATAAAAGTTGTAAAATTTAGAAGTACGATACCAAATTTTTTTTTTATACCTTCATTAAACAAAGGTGTGACTCAGTGTCACAGAGTACATAAAGGAGGTAGTTTTGGCCAGACCATCAAAACAAGTATATGATGAGTTGGTCATTCTTTTTGCCAGCAGTTTGAAGAAATTGCTCAAAGATTCCATGCCGGCCACTGCCCACAAAGCAACTCTGTCCACAACCTTTATGTATCTAGCTCATGATCAAGTTGGCTTAGTTTGGTATACCAAATTAATATGAGTTGGATTGCTTAAAATAAATGGCATTGTTAGAGGAATCACACGTCTCATCCCTCCACCATTACATTTATATCCAAAGTTAGGTCTTTCTTTACTTTCCTCGATTAGCCAATGAATTGTATTTAGGGTTCCTAACATTTTTAGTTTTTAAAGTATGTTCGTTTTGTCAGTTTAATTTTTATTGTATTAATTTTGTTAATTTAGTCCCTGAAATTTTAATTCGTATCACTTTTGACCTATCAGACAATTCGTTAAGTTTTTTTTAACGAAAATGACCATGTATCATTCTTTTAAACAGTATCACGTGATCATTTCGACAAAAAACTTAAAGTCAATTTATGTAGAGATTATTTAAATACGAATTGAATATATTAGAGACCAAATTTATAAAATTGATACTTTAGGGATTAAACTGATAAAAGTAGGACCAAATTCGTGCGTTTTTTAAGGACTAAAAATGTTATTAAACTTTATATTTATGTAAAAGTAGGAGTGTGGGAGCTTTCGTGGCATATCATAAATTTATGCCATTTTAAGTGTTCTTACTTCAAGTTTCTATCGTGTAATTCAAGAATCAAATTAGAGAATTAGGACCTTTTTTTTTCTATCATACAAATCCACCACGTACATATCTTCATAAATTGAAAAACACTATATTTAGATCATAATAAAACCCAATAAAAACCCTTAGATTGTATTATTCTTCATACAATACTAGACTAAAAAAATAAAATAAAAATGTATTGTCTTTATAAATTATCAATAAAACTTCATGTCTTACACTAATTTGATATATTTATTAATTGAATTAATTATTTGTGTCATTTTATATTTGTATTGTGCCAATAATTGATAACACTATATAAAAGATCGTATTCAATTCACAAAAGTTGTCTATGATAGATATGTAGTTGTATGGTAAGCAATTCACAAAATATTATTTAGATAGTATTTATCATCGTTTTAATTCCTATATCTAGAAATTGTAAAATATTAAAGATGCTAATCATGTAACAGTGCACTAGGAACAGTTCCTATAGTACCTTTGCAAAAAAAACAAAAAAAAATAGTAAACTATACATATGATTCTCAAGCTACGACCCTTGTGTTAATTAAGTCACTGAATATTTTTTTTTTTTTTTGTGTCAATTGAGTTTTGAACTTTGTAATTGTATCAATTGAATCTTTTTGTTTGCATCTGTTAGTTTTTCTAACGGAAAATGGTGTAGTGTGTCATTCATGAGATACAAATATGTTGCAGTAAACTATGTATATGACATTTAAGCTATGACCCTCTTATCAATTAAACTCCTAAACTTTTTTTTATGTCAATTAAACCCCTGAACTCTCTAATTGTGTAAATTAAGCCCTTCTGTCTTTTATGTCATAGGATCATCCAAGTAGAACACTCTAATAGAGGTAGACTGAAGGATTCAATTGGCATAATTTGAGAGTTTAAAGACTCAATTAACACAAAAAAAGAATTTAAAGATTTAATTGAGACAAAAAATCATAATTTAAATGTCATATAAATAATCGACTCAAAAAGAAACAACACTTAAAAAAGTGTTAAAAAGTTTCTAACTAGTAATTGTTCAAAATGTGAACTATGGCTTTTAACACAGGTATCTAGGCCATGATTTGAAATCTGCCGGCCATTTGTGCTACAAAACATATAAAAGTTCCAGATTTTAGGCAGGGCTCAGCATTTTAAGCTGATGATCAAAGAGGGTGGGGATGAATAATTACATTAGTTTGTTTAACAGCTATGCTTTAGAAAGCATTATTTGTCATGCATGTATCATGCTTTATAAAACCATGATTTGTCTTTTTCTTTCTTATTTAAAGATGAGATTCTGAGCTTTAATCATGAAATCCTCCATCCATCAATTTTGTGGAGTGGTGCAGCTCCTGTACCCTAAGGCCCTCAAAAAACCCTGTGAAGGAATGTCGATGGGCCATTTAGGAGTTATTACCTTGAAATCTTAAGTTCGAGTCACGCAATAGAGTCATGGATTAATCAATATGTGAGAATTACAGACGATTCCAATGAATTCTACGGTTATCTGTTACCCAAAAAATTTCGAATGCAGATAGGCCAAGATATAAAGCATACAACTATAGCATATACTGAACTAATCAGCAACTGTACAAGGTTAGTTGATACACATGGTTAGCAGGTGATTGAGCATCCAACTTTTTTATTGGAACTATAAAGTCTAAAGTCGCATGGTTGGAATGCTATTACCAAAGAAAATTATAGACTCGTCCTTGCAAGAAACTGTTGTCTGATCTTCTTCAGTGCGGCTGCAACATCTTTCATGTTGATCCTCTCTGCAGGAGATTCTGCAGAGCAGTTCAAAGCTAGTTCCATAATTGAAGACACACAATGTGCCTTCTCAGCGAAGTGTTCTTCCTCTGGCCTTAGCAAGTTGGCATCTATGACTTGAATTATACCATCAGGCAGTGAATCCTTTACCCATTGCTTCAAGCTCAAGTCTCCAGCAAACATTTCATCAATAGGCTTCCTTCTAGTGAATGTTTCCATCACCAAAATGCCATAGCTGTAAATATCACCCCTTGTCGATACTAATCCTTCCAATCCAATCTCTGGATTAAACACAACAACTAATTAAAATTTGTATGCTCAAGATCACAAACAAACAATAAAACGACAGTGAAAATAAAAACAAACGAGATTACGTGGTTCAACCTAAAAGTTTACATCCACGGTGGAATCACACGAGCAAAAGTTCATCAAAAATTGTAAAAATTACAAAGAATTATAAAAACAAAAGCAAGACAACGGCTGCTCATGATCTCATTTTAACTCCTCAACTACTGGGTTTCTCGCATACCCATTAATTACTAGAATTAGTTTCACATTGCCTCCAATGCCAAAGGTCTGTTTTCTTTTGGGAAAAAAAATTGCTGTCTGTAGTAAAATGCACGTCTCTACTGTCTGCAATTGAGGCAATGTGAAATCAACCACCACATTTGGAGTAAGAAACATGATAAATAGGGGTTCAAAAATATAAATTGCCCTAAATTTTTTTGTCAAAACTTAGAACCAAATTTTTGCCAAGCATCAAAAAAAGTTGAGACATGGACCTAATGCAAATCTAATTCTGCATGCCTCACCTGGTGCCATATACCCAAATGTGCCAAGGGTTTTGGTTTGTGCAATACTGTCCCCTGCACCTAATAACTTTGCAATGCCAAAATCACTCACATGTCCGACCATGTCTTCATCTAGCAGGACATTGCTGGGCTTCAAATCACAATGAACCACAGTAGTTGAATATCCTTGGTGGAGGTAATCCAATGCACATGCCACATCTATCATTATGCTTAATCTTTGCAACATATCCAAGAAATAGTTGTGAGAATATAACCACCTTTCCAGGCTCCCATTAGGCATGAACTCCAGTGCCAATGCCTTGAAATCAAGGTTAGAGCAACTGCTGATGACTTTGGTCAGATTCCGGTGCCGGATGCTGCGCAACACTTCGCATTCTGTATGAAAACTCTTGAATGCATCCTCCAGTTGCATGTTGAATACCTTAATGGCCAAAAGTGTCCCATCTCTGAACTTCCCTTTGTATACTGAACCAAAACTCCCCTTGCCAAGCAAGTTGCTGTCACTAAAACCATCGGTGGCACGAAAAAGTTCTTCGTTTGTAATTCTTCCATGTGTTATCCCTGGCAATGGTTCAGTCTGAGCAGGAATTCTGTTTATTTTTCGGCGTCTTACCAGCACAAATGTGAAGATCAAGGCAAGCACTATCAGAGCAATCACTACGGAAATATATACAGCTAGAAGAACTCTTCTTCTCCTTGTAAGGTAAAGAGTTTTTGTATGACAGGATGGGACACCCAACCTAGGAGCACCACACAATGCTTCGTTTGACATGAATGATTGATTCGTGAAGTTTGCAAAGCAACCTCTGGTGGGGATTTCTCCACTTAATCCGTTGAAAGACACATTGAAATACTTGAGATATAGAAGAGCCTCTAATGAATTAGGAATCACACCAGTGAGATGGTTACGAGATAAATCCAAGCTTTCCAAACTTACCAACTTGCCAAATGTCTCAATAGGTCCTTGAAATCCATTATGCGCTATAGAAAAATTAATCAAGTTCTGCAGATTTCCCATTGTGCTAGGAATATTGCCCGAGAGTTGATTCATGGATAGATCTATTGATGTTGCAACCTTTAATCCTCCAATTTTCGGGGATAGATGGCCACTTATAAAATTTGAGGACAAGTTGAGCTTCAAAAGATCTTTGAGGCTCCACAATATAGCCGGTATGCTAGAAGTTAATTCATTGTCATCCAGGAGGAGGTATCTCAGAGAAGTAATATTCCCCAAGCAAGGTAGCACTGAGCAATAAAGCCTATTTTTGCTCAAACCTAAGTAACCAACATCCTTGAGGCCACAAATATCATTAGGAATGCATCCTTGCAGTTTGTTGTCGATAAGACTTAAACCTTGAAGCTTCAATAGCCCACTAACAGTTGTCGGGATGACACCAGTCACCTCATTCCTACGTAGGTTTAAGAATGCCAAATTACTCAAGTTACCAATTTCATCAGGAATTTTTCCCCTGATTTTGCAACCATGCATGTCAACAATTTTCAGAGAATCAGAGAAATTCCCTATAGAAACTGGAAGAATGCCTTCTAGGGGATTATTAGTTATCCAGAATATTCTTAGATGTCTGCAATTTGTCAAGGAGGTGAGGAAACTCAATTCTGCAGATGGATGTTCGTTGACAAGATTATTCTGTCCAAAACCAAGAAGCTGAAGTTGTTTCAGATTGCCAAGTTTGTTGGGAATGGAACCAGTGAATGCATTGGAAGTAAGGTCTAGTGTAGTGAGTTTAGAGGCATTTGAGATAGAGTTGGGAATCATCCCACTGAGGTTATTCCTTGGAAGAATAAGTTGTTCAAGATTGGGTTGCCTCTGGCCTATAATTGATGGAATTTTGCCTGAAAGGAAATTGTCTGCCAGTGAAATGATCTGTAGTGCTGAGTTGTTGAAGATTAAGGCTGGAATGGGGCCTCTCAAGACATTGAAAGCAAGAACCAACCTCTCCAAATTGCCAAGATGACCAATTTCTTGTGGGATTACACCTGCTAAAATGTATAAAACATGAACTTTGACAAAAACAACCGTGCCAAGGCATTGTGCAATGGTGTAAATGTTCAGTTGAGTTAATAGATAAGGCTTAAGTGTGGTGAGCATGTCTAACTTGAATGAAAAATCTATGGTTTTGACTAGATACCTTGCCAAAAAAATTTGGAAAATATAATGACTCATTAAAGTCAAGTTATGACTGAATCAGGTCCACAAATTTGTGATCGATCCTCAAAACCTTGAGACAACAAAGCAAATTGCGAACAATCTAAAAAACTTGGGGTTGATCCCAACTCAGACTCCATTAAGTCGTAACTTGGTGTGTTAGAGTCGTAATTTGATTTGATAAGCTTATGATACGAAAAGAAGAATTACCATACAAAATTCATAATGGAATCAACCAAAAACATAGAAAAGGAATCAACCACAATGTGTCAATCACCTCCCCAGGTTAACTGTTCATAAGTAGGGTCGGCAATAAGTAGGGTCATGCTGGAATCGTGTTGTGCCCAAATTATGTTATGCCAAAATTTGCTTAAATCCATTTATAAACGCATATAGTCAGATTCGTTTCGTTGTTCGTCTGTCTAACGTATGAATCATACATAGTCATGCATAGTCAGGTTGATATTGATTCATTCATATATTAAGTGGGTTTGACCCGTCAATCCACTCTAAACCCTTTAATCCAAAATCATACAATAAATTCATCGTTGTTTTCATATTGAATTGAAGGGTCGTTTTAAGAACTACTACCAGCTTGATTCATAAGGCTCCTTGTGTCGAAAATTTCTCAAACAGAACATCTGCAGAATACTAAAACTCCAACACGAAGCAGAATTATCACAAAAGTGGACATGTTAGATGTTATGAACTCAAAGCCGACCCAACGGTAGCCCTTTCTCTTCACTCGTCTACCAGTATTCAACACAATAGTACTGTACCAAACATAATTCTAAGATATTTTAATCCGGCCTATAACTCGCTCCTTCTGCAATTCAAACTGATGACGTAGTGTCTGTTCTAGTACCAATTGTTATGAACTCAACTGTTGATCCAAAAGTGTCAAGACTTATAAGGGGTTAGAGCTTTGAACGTAACCGTTGATCCAAAAGTCTCAAAACTTGTAAGGGGTTAGAGCTCTGAACGTAAAAAAAAAAAAAAAAGAAACTTGGCACAAATAAATGGCAGATAAAATCAAACCTGTCAGATTGTTGCCATTGAGATATAACATCGAAAGGGACGTACAGTTCCCAATTCCTTGTGGAATGGTTCCTGTAAACTTATTATCATGAAGATCAAGAACTTGGAGCTTTGGGACATGCAGACATGTCTCCTTTGGCAAAATTCCAGATAGGTTGTTTTCGTACAGGAAAAGCCATTTTAGAGAAGAGATGTTGTAGATTGAAGAAGGTACGAGACCAATGAGGGCGGCGTCCTGAATAGCCAATACCTCCAAGCTACAAAGCTTCCCGATCTCTTGTGGAATTGCACCTGCAAAAAGGGTACTTGTGAGAGTAAGAATCAAAATATTTAAAATAAATATGCAAATAGATTACTCCATCTATTTGTGAAATCTCATCACCACATACCACACACCACACCGTTATCTGCTGGATCAAAACTAAGCCCTACCATGTGTTTTCGACGAAAGTAAGCTTAACCCATCGAGTGGTCATGACTATAGAAACTCAAATTTAAACAACGAGCAAGTATGGTGTAAGATATTTGGAAGGATTTTGGTATGTTTAACTAATTTGGACCGATGCTTTGAAATAAATTTTTAATATTTTTTTTTATTTTTGAAATATTTTCAAAATATCATTGAAATATTTTCAATTAATTAAAATTATGCACTAAAACAAAATTTTGGTATTTAGCTCGTGTAATTTCTGCAACAATTTTTTATCTTTGAAACTAGGAGTATGCATCGGAAGTGGGGAGATCTATTTGATGGGCTAGGCTCAACTCATGTTATAAGTTCAGTCTGAATAAAGAGCCCAACTTAAAAAGATTCAACGGGCTGTACACACTCAATCAAGTTCACCAGGTTTTGAGGAGCTACATTACCAAGAGAGTAAGTAGGGTTATTAAAGAACCTCATCTATACCGCCATGAAAGAAGTCAACCACCACATTATCCTTTGACCTGATCTTAAGGGGAGCTTCGTAACTGTCTCATCCGTTGAGAAAATAGCACCAACTCTACTAGATTCGCTACTTAGTTACTAAAAAAACGTCTTAGTCTTTTGATAGCCAATATAAATTGTAAACCCCGTCAATACTTGGGGAACATTGAGCACATCTGTTATCACTCTCATCTCTTTCTTATTGCTTGTATCTCTCTGCTCTCCCTACACTCCTCGAAGTAATAAAACACCAGGCCATTCTAGCCCTTCATATTGGAGTCATTAGTGTGTCGATTAAAGTGAGTATTGTGGTTCTATTTTACAAATTGTTTTACATGGCGATATTGTGACCCCATTTGTGAAGCCTGAAACAATGTTATTTGGATCGTGGGTCATTTTGGTACGTGATATGAGTGCGGGTACAATGTATCACACTTTCTTAGGTACGCGATACAATGATGGTAGACTAAGCTGTTATGGTATTTTGGGTCGTAATTCGTTTTAAAACTCTTATTTACATCGTTTCTACCACTATTCAAAATTATATAACATAGAATATCCATAAACATTAAGTCAGTTACCATTTATCTTATATTTGTGCCGGATTTCTATTATCTAAAATAATACATAATTTTAAATTTATATACACGTAGTTAATTAATATGTATTTTATATTTGTTCTATGTGTACAATTCGGGGTCGTACATTTTGGTAATTTGAATCGCGAACCCACCTTGTTTGGGATTGATATACCTAAATTGTTGGTCGTCAGGGATTTAGTGAATTCTAGTAACTCTGGCTTGAAAATTAATTTGTAGATATTTTTATCAAAGCTTAAAGTTGTAGTAGTATAGAAGTTATTTGTTCCTAGTTTGGTTTCTATGATATATATAGTCTAGCTTGAGGGAGAGTGTTAGAGATCTACTTTCCTATTGTTCAACTTTCTTATTATGCTACTTCCCTGTTATGTTCTACTTTAACTTCATTATTATGTTCTATTTTCTTAATATTGTAATTGTCTTCCATACTAATCTAATATATATAGGTGATAGGGTGTACACAATACACACCCAGCATACAATATTGTTTCATAATTTCTTTCTTTCTCTAAACCTTAATTTTCAGTTATTAACTTTTGCCTTAGGATCTTATTAGTTCACACATTCTTAATTAATTCTACACTTTTTTTTATCGTCATCAGCTTGAAAATATATTAAAATTTTACATTGCAAACCTCTTACTTGTCACTAAATGTTGAATATGCATGGCGAATAAGAATTTTATGAACTTTGACTACTAGCATTGCCACCACACCAGCACCTCATTGGCATCAACGTCGCCCACTCCCACCAATCAAACAATCACTACTAGTACCATTCATAGTTATGACCCCCCCAATAATCACCATTGCCACCACCCCCACACTACTAGCATCACTACCATTACCACTGCCTTCCCACCACCTCATTGTTGCTATTACTGTCATCCTTCCACTACCAAGGGAGGAATTGACTTTTCTAACCCATATTTAGTCGTACCGGCATAGCTCAACTGATTTATTTTCGATCGGAGCATCAAGCAGCACAACCCGATTCTACTTGACTAAGCCTGTGCTCATCCAAGGAGGGAGTTTACTTTATCCAACTCCCTTTTTGATAACCAGGCAGAAAACCTTGACCTGATATTTATTAGTTTAGTTTGGAATGAAGAATAAAAAGTGTACTGCCTTAGCAACCACCTACTCCTATCAAAAAGCGAGACTTTAACTACTATAATAAAGGATAAGGTCAGCTTTCAAGCTGTAGCTTTACAATAATAGGGCTTTGATAGGGCCCAGAGACCCTCGTTGTCAGCCATGGTCTGTTTGAAATCCGTTGCTGGGCATATGAACTTCTACTTCTTAGTAAGCGGGCTTATTCCTAGGATTGACTGGGTCATTCGCTCACTGCCTCAAACGGCCCCCCCTACTACTATAACTATATAGTAGGACTAACCTATACTATAATAGGATAAATATTAGGTTCATCACCATTGTCACCACCACTACCACCTAATTCATTTATCATTATCATCGTTGTCGCCACTACCGACACCCCTCCATCGCGGTGGTGGCAACAACGATGGTGGGCGTGGTGTCTACTGTGGAGATGGTGGTGGATGTCCTAGCATTGATGGTGGTTGTGATGGTAGTCTAGTTGTTGATTGTGGTGATGGCGGAGGTGATGGTGTGGTGGCGGTGATGATGGGGAGATGGAGAAAGTGGTGGGGTGATGGCGAAAAAGGTGATTGTGGCAGTAGGGTTGGGATGGTGGTGGTAATGTGTGTGTGTGAGGTGGTGGTTGTGGTGGCAATGATTGTTATGAAGTGGTGGTGGGAATGGGATAGCAGTGGTGGGGTTGTGGAGGAGAAAGATAAAACTAGAAAATTCACAATTTTTGATCAAATTGTTTGATCCAATTCAATACTAGATTTCAGTCTACATATAAAGATTTTCAGCTTAAAAATCAACTTTATCAAACAAACCCTGTTTGTTGTTTATTAGCTCAAAGGATGGTCCTATTTTTTGTCCTTTATTACTTTCATTTTCCCAGTTTTCCTTTTGGAGAATTCTCTTGCTTATTGTTACATTATATTTTGTCTTAGTGAATTTCCATTTCTTTCACACCTAAAATTTCTTGTTTGTTGATACAGATACTTTCTCAAAACCGGCATCTGGTTCTGGTGAACCCCAGCCAAGTGGTTGGTTTCGGACTTTCACAATTGCTGCTTACAGGCCCTACTTTGATGTTGACACGGCTGATGTTTTAGAGAGGATTAAAGATTCACTCTTTCCTTTCAGTGGGAGCTTTACCGAGAAGACTGCTAGCAACCCTGATCTGTAAGTTACCTTGCTCTTTTCATTACTCCCCTACCCCATGATTGAGACCTCCTTCCTTTTTTTTTTTCAAAATTTAGTCCCATGCAGAAGTCAATGTACCCTATCTTGTAAAATTCAAAATTTTCCTTAGATGGGGCTAACCTTAAAAACATATTGTGGGAGGGAAGATAAAAAAATTAATCAAAGAGGAGGCTAATTTTTGGAAAGTAAAAAATTTCTGCTGCAATTTGAATATAAAAGTGTTCTGTTAAAAGCCTGGTTTTTAAAAGAGGGTCTGTAGTTTGGGACAGAGGGAGTATTTCTGTTTCAATTATCAGATTAACATGTATTGGAAAATCACACTGTTGAGAAAGGATTATTTCTTGTACTCGTTTCTACAATCTGAGATGCCAATTGACATGACCTTTTCAGTCCCTTTTGTCGCATCCTCATTTTTCTTCATGATATAAATTTTTTCAAAATCTCGAAAGCTTCGAAGGTATAGACATTATTGATTATCAGAAAGTTGTGTGTTAAAATAGTAGTACCATACTTCTGTCCAGAAATGTGTTAACATTATTTAAGTTCTATGAGTAAACATGCCTGTTGGCAGCATAATATGGTCAAGGATCAGTTATAATCACTTAGGAAGTTCATTTGGACAAGTGATTGGATGCTTCGTGAGGAATGTTAGTTCCAACAATATTGTGTCATGTTTTTCAAGTCCTTCATTTAGATAATAGGTTAAATCCCTGTCCCATTGCATTAAAGTTACCGGCTTGCAGCATACTCTGTCTAAGGGAGGGAGGATGGTTTGGGTTTTACCACAAGATTTGCCTCATTCTTTGTGGATGATTTTGGAAGTTTGGGATGAGTAAGAAGGTTTCTATGCTTTGGAATTGTATGGTCTTGGCCATTATTTGAGTAATTTGAATGAAAGAAATTAATCGAATTTTTTGTGGGATCAGTATTAGGTGTTTCAGTTTTAAATAATTTAATTCTTCCAAGAAATACTATAATTTTTGAGGATAAAGTTGAGTATGAATAGTATCGATCAGTAAAGATTTTGGGATCTTTCCTTGTTTTTGATTCATCACGATTGGATTGAGATTTGTAGCTAAAGATGATTTAACTTGGCTTGGTATCTTATTTTTATGGGGTAATTACCTTTTTCCCTGTGGTTTTGACCAAAAACAACTTACCTCCTTAACTTTTAAAATTTTGCACATAACCTCCCTATTGTTTGGTATCAAAGTGAAAAGTTGATGCTGATAACGGAACCAAGAAAATGACAATTTTATCCTTTCCTTCTACCTCTTTCTCCTACTTTGACCGATTCTCGTTCTCCCTTCTTGCCTCTTTCTCTCTCTTCTCTGTTCTACACACATACAACCACATTTTCTTTCTTTCTTTCTTTCTTGCTCTGGATTATCAATATGGTTTGCTAAGAAAAACAAGAAGAATATGAAAGATACTTTTGATAGACTACAAAATCAGTTTGGTTTTACACCTCTCCGCTATCATCAATTCTTGAAATGGTACTAGTGAGACTTCAAAAATCTAGTTCGTTTTTGTACTGTTGTACCACCATAGGAGTAGCAGCCACCTAGGAAGCACGGATACTCCTCCGAAGGTCGACGTGGCGGTGTCGGACGCGTGTCTGACATGGATATGCGTTGGACACGTGTCCGACACTT